GAAGAAAAAAACATCCAACCAGAAGAAAATGAAGAAATAAGAATTCAAAAAAATGAGGAGAGGCTTAGGAACCTCTGGGACATCTTTAAATGTTCCAACATCTGAATCACAGGGGTACCAGAAAGAGAAGAGGAAGAGCAAGAAATTGAAAACTTATTTGAAAACATAATGAAGGAGAACTTCCCCAGTCTGGCAAAGGAAATAGACTTCCAGGAAGTCCAGGAAGCTCAGAGAGTCCCAAAGAAGTTGGACCCAAGAAGGAACACACCAAGGCACATCATGATTACATTACCCAAGATTAAAATGAAGGAGAGAATCCTAGAAGCAGCAAGAGAAAAGGGGACAGTCACCTACAAAGGAGATCCCATCAGACTGTCAGCTGACTTCTCAAAAGAAACCTTGCAGGCAAGAAGGGGCTGGAAAGAAGTATTCCAAGTCATGAAAGGCAAGGACCTACACCCCAGATTGCTCTATCCAGCAAAGCTTTCATTTAGAATGGGAGGGCAGATAAAGTGCTTCTCAGATAAGGTCAAGTTAAGGAGCTCATCATCACCAAACCCTTATTTTATGAAATGTTAAAGGGACTTATCTAAGAAAAAGAAGACAAAAAACATGTATAGTAAAATGACAACAATCTCACAATAATTAGCAACCACACCTAAAACAAAAACAAAAACTAAGCAAACAACTAGAACGGGAACAGAACCACAGAAATGGAGATCACATGGAGGGTTATCAACAGGGGAGAGGCAGGGGGAGAGAGGGAGAAAAGGTACAGAGAATAAGTAGCATAGATGGTAGGTAGAAAATAGACAGGGGGAGGGCAAGAATAGTATGGGAAATGTAGAAGCTAAAGACCTTATGACACATGGACGTGAACTAAAGGGGGGAATGCGGGTGGGAGGGGTATGCAGGGCAGAGGGGAATAAGGGAAGTAAATGGGACAACTGTACAGCATAATCAATAAAGTATATTTTTTAAAAATTCCTTTGGAACAAACTAACAGTAACCAGAAGGAGGTGGGAAGGGATAAAAAAAGAGAGACTAACGCAGGTGGAAAGCTGTTATTCCAAAATTGAGTAGCTTTTGAATAAAGACTTCTTTCCTTTATCACCAAAAATAAAAGAATTTTTTAAAACCCACCCATACAAAATGGGGCAAATATGGTTATATATAAAGAATGAAAACACAAATCGCAACAGATTCCAGACTTTAAAAAGCTGACGAGCCCCACAAATACCACGGAGTCCAGGGGAAACAGGACTCTTCGTTGTTGCTGCACAGTCTGCCTGCCTCGCTCCTGCAACACCGTTCCTCCGCACAGTCTCCTCCGGCCACCGCCCCGGGGCCGCGGTTCTCTGTGTGACCCCGTCCTCTCTTGGGGGAAGAGAAAGAAAAATTCCTTCCCTTAGCACAACTGACCGCATGTTCTCTCCCATAGTTATGAGCAGTTTGGGGGTTTTCTTTCACAAATTTACTTCACGTGGAGTTGTAACGCGTGAACTTGTGGTGTGCGCCGCTGCGCCAGGGTGTGCCCGACGAGCACCGCCCCGCAGTGAACACCGTCTGGTTCCAGACCACCGAGGGGGAAGGCGAAGTGCGTGGGGGGCCACGGCGCTCAGGGCACTCCAGGCCGTCTGGGGCGGCGACGCATCGTCTCGCCCTCCCCCGTTTGCTCTCGCGCGCACACAGACGCGACTGTGTCTCCCACCAGCTCCTGGACCGGCAGCGGGAGCGAGACTCGGTGACAGTTTTCTTCGGTCGGCCGGGAGACTCCCCAGACTGCAGGTATCTTGCCAAGTGCAGAGCCGGCTCAGCCGCGAGACCCACGCCTCGTCACCCACTCGGGGAGCCCAGCACGCTGAGCTGCAACGTGCCCACCTTCCACAGACGCGGCCCCCGTGCCACCCCTCCCATCAGGGTTTAGACGGCAGAGCCTGCGGGGGCCTTAATCAGAGGGAGAAGGGACTGAGGGGGGCGCATGTGATGCCAAGACGTAAACCCTGCAGCCGGCACACGCAGCCCCGCCGCTCTGGTTCGGTGGGAAAGGCGGGTGTGGGGCAGGGCCTCCTGCCCGCAGGCCCCTCGCCGCCCACAGAGTCCGAGGGCTGCCACTCACCCCCAGAGCCCACAGACTGCCCGCCCGCCTGCTCGCCCCAACCCCACCTCTCTGGCGCGACTCACTCATTTCCCCTGCCGGCCGGTGCGTGAGTCTGGGAGCTCTGGGTCGCACGCTCTAGCGTCAGCGACTCCTGCCGGACCACGGCAGACCATCCCTACTGCGCGTCACACCACGGGGAGAGAAAACGGCTAGATGCCCCCTGGGAGGAGGGAGGACCAGGTGACATCCCCCCCCCAGAGAAGAGGCTGCAGCAGGGGCTGTGGGTGCCTCTGACTCCACCCTGCCTCGGGCACGCCGGCTCCAACCGGACCCTGCGCCTAGGACTCTCCATCTTCTCTGGGCGCCTCCAGCCCCCTGGGGCAGGAACAGCCCCGGGGGACGAGAGCATCTGTGGTCAGGTTTTCACGGAACCAAGCCCACCTTTCTCTGCATCGTTCCAGTAACTCATGGATCAAGGCCACAGGGGATGACGCGTAACACCCAACTCCTAGAAGTCCCCGTCGTGGGGTGGCCACCGCTGCGCTTCCCCGCGCTCCCAGCCGGACAGACGCCTGCCGGACAGACGCCTGCGGGACAGACTCGGCGCATCCCAGCTCGGCCCGCCCGGAGGCCCTGCGTCTCCTCACAGAACGCCTTCCGTCCGGCTGACACCGGCCTCCGCCACGGCAGGCCCCCCGGCAAGACACCACTCTGAGTAGAACCTTCTGGAGTGATCACCACTGAGGGAGGGATGATCAGCTCGGACGAGTCCCACAGTGGGACCTCCCAGAGCTCCCTCCTGGAGAAACGAAGCAGCAGACGGTCCCCACCGTCACCCACCCGAGTCCACTGCTCCCAAGGCGGAGCTCGCACACGCCCCCTCGGCTGCCCACCCCCACGCAGTCCTGTGGCTCCCGAGCCCCAGAGCCGCCGCCGGGACAGCCCTGCGACCCGCACTGGCGGGCCAGTGCCAGGCCAGAGCGCCCACGCTGCGGAGCCGAGGGAGCTGAGCCGGTTCCGTGAACGACCACATCCCGTCGGGCTCCCCGGGGTGGGGGGCCTCACCACAGGGAGGCTCCTCTTGCTCTCCAGCTAATGGGGCACGAAGCACAAATATCGGACGTGGTTAACTTTCCGTCTGGGATTTGGCGGTCCATGGCTACGAGAGACAGGAGCCCTGGAAGGTGGCCCCTGATCGTCACAACTTCACGAAGGGGTGAGAGACGAACAGGCTTCTGGGGGGACGCGGAGCAGAGCCCATCATCGTCTGCGGGAGGGGGCGGTGTTGGGGGAGGGGGCAGGCCTGGGGCAGCTGGGAGAACCGAGTCCCACCCAAAGTAACTCAGATGGATTCCAGACTGCGTGGGCCTGACCGAACACACACGTGGTCCCTGGGGGGGCCTTCCTCCGGACAGTTCCCAGGCCGACGGGGACCTGGCCCTCTGACCTCGGTGGCTGTCACTGCGCCTCTGAGACTGGGCACCAGGCTGCTGCAGAATTCGACTCACCCCTTGAAAACTTGCACACCAAGAACTAAAACCCTAGAGCTTCCAGGTCAGGCCCTAGGGAGTAGGCACAGCACCCGTGAGGGGAACCCCTGGTTTTAAAGGGCAGACAGGTGACGGGGGCAGGAGGGACAGGGGCATGGGCTAAGCCACCCGCCACGTGTCCCTGCACCTCCAGTTTTGTCTGAACAGAGTCACATCCGTCTGTTTACAGGTGCCCACGGCCACCCGCCGCACCCGCCACACCCGCTGCAGAGCGAGGAGCGTCGACAGACACCGCATGCCCGATGCGCCTGAAGTGCTTGCCGCTGACTCCCAGGAGCAAAGCCTCGCCACCCCTCGGTCGAAGGTTTCCGGAAGCTGCGATCAGGCGACCAGCCGACGGAAGAGTTCAGGGCGTGCAGCCCCAACACCTGGATGAGCCACACAGCCTCACAGCGTCGCCCCGCAAACCACCAGCTACGAGGGGAAACAGCGGCCTCAGAGCGGGCACTCGGACAGACCCGGCCTCAGCCAGGCACCCAAAGCAGCGTCACCAGGTCCAGGACAGCCCACACCACGTGCGTCCTGGCGGGCGGCGCCGAGAACTCAGCATCACGTCAGCAGTCACCACGCCCAAAACACACAGCTGGGTCCATCACGGGGAAACGCCAGGCAAACCCAGACCAAGGGGCAGTCCTCTCCACACGCCAAGGTCACAGTCGACAGGGAGGCGCCGGAGGACTCTTCGCAACTAAAGGAGACTGAAGGGAGATGAGGACAATACACAGTGTGCGGCCCCGGGCTGCACACTGGACCCGGCGCAACAGCAGCTACGTAGGACGTTACCGGGGCAATCGGCGAAATTTGAGTAGGGGCTGTCCATTAGATGACAGTGTTTTATCAGCGCCAAATTTTCCAGTTCTGGTCACTGTACTGTGATTGTGTAAGAGAATGTTCTTATTCTTAGGGAAAAAAACAATGAAATACTTAGGGATAAAGGGGCGGTATATCTGCAATTTACTTTCAAATAGACGGTTCTGGGAGAAAACCTCTCTCCCTCTCCCTCTCTCTGCGGAGAAGCGGGTGGGTAGATAGAGAGAGAGATGACAGACTGGACAGGTAGACAAGATAGATAATCAGACAGATAGGTGATCAGATAGAAAGACATAGAAAAACGAAACTGGGGTAAATACAAAGGATGGCTGAATACAGGTAAAAGGTATGAGTTCTTCATGCTGTTCTCCCTACTTTTCTGTCAAACTGTATCACACAGCTCTTTTTCGAGGCTAAAACAGAACAGCAGGACACAGAGCAGACAGACCTAGAACAAAAGGGCAGAGAAACCCCCCAAGCACCGCCCCGGCCGGAGCCCCGAGTCGCTCCGGCAGCTCGCGCTCTCCGGGCTCACTTACTGACGGGCCAGCGGCGCAGAGAGGGTCTGCCCCGAGACCCCAGGGCTGGTCCCTGGGGCGCTCGCTCGTCATCGCCGGCGCGCAGGTCTCCGGGTGCCCGTCCAGCCTGGCAGCCCTGGGCCCCCGCCGCAGGGCCCGTGTGTCCCCATCGACCTGGGGACTCCAGGACGTGGTGGAGAGCCGCCTCTCAGGGCACGCTGTCCTTCTCTCGGGTGGGGCTTGGCCTGAGCACGAACGAGTCGGCCTCCTGAAACAGAAAGGGGTGGTTCTGAACACTGCGCAAAACTGCGTTCGGCCCTTTCCAATACCCGCCCGTCCCTTTTTCCTGTGTAAACAGGATGCTGATTAATTTAGAGCGGCAATGTATCAGACTCTGTTGGAGCTGGAGGGAGCCATGTCCCACTGTTTTGGCCAAGGAGCTGCAAGCAGAAGTCTGATGGGGATTGGGAGGGAAGAGTCCAGGAATCATGTTTTCTTTCTTCCGAAAGGGGAATAGATGAGGTCAGTGTTGTTCCTCATTCTCCTATTCCCTGTCCTGAATGCAGGTGTGATGGATGGAGCTGTGGCAGCCACATTGCAATCATGAGGGAAAGGCCAAGAGACTCATAATGTAACAGCCCTGACAACCTTGAGCCATGGAATCAGTACCTGAAGCTGACTGTATTCAAGTTTCCCCTCATGTGAGAAAAATGTAAGTCCTGTATGTTTAAGATACTGTGAGTTGTAGATTCTACTCTTTTTGTCAAAACCACTTTTAATTGATGTAACAATGATTTTTTTCTTTGTTTAATCTTGGCTTCCAGAGAATAGTGTGATCAAATATTCTCCCTTACATTCTCTTAGGGTTCCTTCCTGTTCTCCCTCCCACAAGAAGACAACTTTCAGTTAAACTATGGACGTAATTCTTAAGTCTTGATTCAGGCAAAACTCCCGTTGGGAGGATTCCTTGCATAAAGCTCATGATTCCTCCTTGCCTGCCCCAAACTAAACATTTCCCAATTCTGTTTAATTATTAACATGCTGCAGATGTATTTAAGACACAGCCCTAGTGTCAACTATATTTAAAACTCCAGCAAGGATTCCATTACACGGATAAATAAAGGATGAGCTGCTCCAGCCTGCCTTCCCTAGCCTGCTCAGCAGCTCCTACACGATTCTCACTTCGCTGGCGGCTCTTCCGACCGATCTGTTTGTCCAGCCAGCTGGTGGGCTCCAAATAAGGACCACACCGAGAAAAGCTGAGCCCAGAACTCCATGGGAAACAGCAGACGTGAACGCCTGCCAGGACACTGTGCGTGCGGACCACTTGCCAAGTCACACCACTAAAATCCAGAATCTCTGCAGGCTGGCACAGAAAACGGCCAACACCATGCTTACTGCTCACCCTGGAGCCCAGGGCACAATCCAGAAGCCAGAGAGGCCCGAATGCTCATGTTGGGCGTAGGTGAAGCCAACAGACTCTACGGCAGAACGGAGGAGGGAGGCGGGTGCCAGGGAGAGCACCAGGAAGAAACGTGGTGTCCCTGGCTCCGCCCACAGCTCATTTCCTGCAGGTCAGAAATCCCACCACCGAAAGGTGTTCATCTGGGTTAAGATATTATGACTCTAAAAAGCCCAAACTATTGAAAATTTCTCTAGACAGACCACGAGGGATGGGGGAGACCTCAGACCCCTCCCGGTGCACTTGTCAGAGACAGCACAGGGCCGGCCAGGCAGGAACGGCGCACAGGATGGGTCACTTCGGTAAACGTGTGCGTGTACGTGCAGTCCCCCGGGTGCGCGTACTCAGCCTTGCTGCGCCCAGCGCACCGTGAGCAGTGCTCGGAGGTGTGCGTCATTTCAGGTGGCACGCTTCACAAGCCCTCGTTGCCACCCTCTCTCTCCTTGTGTCCACAACCACGGAAGCATCCGCGGAGACGGAGTTCCCTGCAGACTGGGTCCCTCAGAACTGCAGTGGTAGCTTGCTATGGGCGTTTGGCAGGATGGAGGAATTAATTTCTATTTTTTTAAAGATTTTATTTATTTTTGGAGACAGGGAAGAGAGGGAGAAAGAGGGGGAGAGAAACATCCCATGTGCAACTCACATGCTCCCAACCAGGGACCTGGCCTACAACCCAGGCATGTGCCCTGCCCGGGAATCGAACTGGCAACCTGCCAGTTGACAGGCCAGTGCTCAACCCACTCAGCCACACCAGCCATGACTAGACTGGTTTTAAGCCACTGAGACTCTGTTACAGCCACATACGCTAGCCTGTCCTGACTGCTTCTATGAGGCTCATAGTAAGTGTGCACTAAATTCTGGCTTTGGGTGGCCTTGGGGAAGTTGGTCCACCCCTCTAAGCTTCAGTGCCCTTGCCTGTCATACAGGTGAGAACACTGCACCTGCTGCAAGGACCACTGCAGGACTGGAGCGTAGCCACGTGGGACACGCTGGCACCAACAGGACCCGAGAAACGAAGGGGGTTCATTAGAACCCCTGTCATCATCATCGTTATCATTCCAAAGGTATTTCATGAACACTTGGGGAATGTGGCTGGACTAGATTTATCTGTTCTCACTAATGGGGAGAGGCTCTATTCCATTTCTTCTGAGAAGACCAGCGCATAAATCTAAGTTCCAAGTCAGGGTGCTTCGACGGACCACACCACGTTCGTGTCCTTAACCTTGTTGTTGCGTTGTCATCATCACTACTGTTGATACCACTACCATCCACGATCACAGGGAGGGGTTCAGACTGACACCGACTTCAGTCCTCCCTCGTCACTCTCCTTCTCCTCGGGAAGTAAAGGTGCACACGGTTCCTGGCCAGACGCCCGCTGCCCGCGTCTCTCCAGCCTCCCCAGCGGTCTTGCGTTCCCACTTCCACTCTTTCCCACCTGCCTGCGGTGATTCGATTTCTGTCCCGTGAAGGGTGGTCAAGCCTCGGGGTACCAGCTGGAGGTAGCTTGGCGGTGCCCAGCTCGGCCTTCCCCATTACTGCCACAAGTAGCTGAGCCCCGTGCAGAGGTCAGAACTCAGAAACATGGCCACACTCAGGCCACCGTGGACCTGGGATGTCACCTGGCCAGTGGCTCACCCAGCAACGGAGTCCAACACCTGAGAAAAATCACTGCCCTCTGGTGCCACCTACTGGTGCTCCACCTCGTCCTCCCCAAGCACCCGGAAACACCGCAAAGACGAAGACCTTGAGCCGTGTGCATTCAGAAGAGTTTACCTGTTTCACCAAGGGGAGTGCAGGAGACTTCAGGGTATTAACGTGAGTCTGTACTTGCCAACTACGTGGCCTGTTAGAATTTGAAAAGCTGCTTTTGATGTCAAAGTACTGAGATGACTCCACAGATGGATGTGACCAACAGATGGGTAAATTCATGCAGAGCAAATACAGCCAAACACCAATTGCAGAATCTAGGCAGTGAGCATTATCTTTGTCCCTGACGAAATTCGTTCCCATTTTTGTACGCTTGAAAACTGTCATAAAGCAGTCCGTCGATGAGGAGAAACTGCTTCTCATACACAGTTTCGTTTCTTCGCTCTCTGCCCGTGAAGCTCTCTCTCTCTTTCGCCCATCTGCCTGCGCACGCTGTCTGTGGATGCCGACGTCATGGGACCTTGCCCTTGACTGTCTCCTTTTACAAACTGCATCCTCCTGCAAGACTGGAATGTTCCCAGCTCTTCAGCCATCTCTTCTCCCCGACTACCCCCTCCTCTGTCTCCAGCACTCACCCCTTCAGCAATGAGACCACCCTGACTCAGCCAGCCATGCACAGTCCTCCCCCCGACAGTCCAGGTGGCACCTTAAATTCAACCAGATCAGAACTGGTGGCGTCATTACCATCACAAGCCTCAAGTCCTCCCCAGTGGCCCCACCGCAGCCCTCTCCTGCCAGCTCAGAGCCCAGGACCGGCCTCGTTTCCACCATAGCCCTGGACAACCCCTTCCTTGGTGGCTGATGGAAGCACTGAGCTTGACCTTCAGGGACACCACTGAGGGGTCCCGTCTGAACTCCTTCCGCACCTGGCCGACCTCGGCTCAGGGAGGGCTGCCGGAACCAGACGACGGGCAGGGCCCTGAGCACAGTTATCCGGCAGGAGCAGGGGGGCAGAGGCGGTTTTTATGTTTTAACCTCAGGACTTCCAAAGTGGCTCAGACTCCCACAGGGCTCTGGGCAAGCTGACCACAGATCCCTTGTTCCTGCCCTGGTCATCTCTGCACCCCTTCCTCTGAGCTACTTTGTCCCCATTTCCAGGGGGATTACTGGAAGCCACTAAGCATTGTGGGAAACTCCCTGGAGTGGCCTTCTCAGGAGGCCTTGCTTATTAGAGCTCAGGCCCACCATTTATCCCACCTATTGACCAGAGAGTCCCCTGCTGGCTCGGGAGCCCTCACGGAGCCTGAATGGTCAGTTTTACAAAAGCAGTCGCCGCGGGGATGCCTGCGGCTGTGAGGTCCCACAGGTAACCATTGTTCCTGGATTATCTGTGTGTGGAGGCCCCCCTTCAGAGGCAATGATAAACAGCTCTTCAAGGGTCGCACAGGTCAGTGAGAAAATGAGATCTGATTGACACACATTCTACCCACCCGAGGTTTGTAAGAAAACAGTTGCCAAGGAGAAAAAGAAGCCCCGTTCCTTCCTCAGCTGGGCAGGCAGCCTGGACTCAGGGCCTGGGACGGGGCGCCCTCTGCTGCTCGTCCCCTGCTCTGCAGGCCAGTGAAGCAGAGGCCAGAACACCCCCGAGGCAGCGACAAGCTCGGCCAGCCAGCTGTCCTCGGGACCGTCGTGTACCTCCAAGTCCTGCGTGGAGAGGGGGCCGCGACTTTTTTAAACGGCTTTACTGGGGCATAACACACACCATAAACTGCACCTATTGCAAAGGCAGAGTTGGGTGGTTTTAGTGCATTTATGGTTGTACAACCATTACCACAGTCCAGTCCCTAAAACACCTCCATCTCTGCAGAGAGTTCCCAGCCTCGGGCAGCCACAGATCTGCCGCCTGTCTCCCTGGGCCTGCGGTCCTGGAGGTCACATGGCCATGCATCCTTGCAGTGAGCAGCGCAGGGTGCTGGCTTCTTCCCTTTCGTGGCGTGTCCACCCCACTCACCGCCAGGGCTGCCTCACGGTGTGGGTGTGTCCCAGGTTCACGCTTCGCCTGTGGGTGCACGCTCCTGCAGCTCCAGCTTTGGAAACACTATCGTGAATAGTGCTGCTATGAGTATTTGCCTACAGGTCCTTGTGTGAACGTTTATTTTCATTTCTCTGGAGTAAATACAAGGAGTAGAATTGCTGGGTCATATAAGATTCTGTTGAGCTTTTGAAGAAACTGCAAACTGTTTTCCAAAATAGCTGCATTATCTGGGGTTCCACCGGCCACGCAGAGGGCCTCTGGTTTCTCCGCGTCCTCGCCCACAGCCAGCCCCCGCACTGCTTCCCACCTCCTGGTGCTGCTGGTGGAAGTGGGGTCCTTGGGGTGTCACAAGAAGAGTACTCCAGAAGGCCCGCAAGGGAGCGTGAGGGCTGGTGCTGATTTATTTGTGGCGCCAGATACAAAGTCAAAGGAATTTCCCTGGGCCTCCAGCTGTCCCTCTGAAGTCTCCCCGCAGAGGTCAGCCCTGTCTCTGCCCCACACCGACTGATGGAACGAAGGGCTCCCTGTTACTGAACAGGCTGCAACATGCCACCACAGGGAGGCTCCCACTGAGGCCCAGGTGGACGCTTCTCCTGAAAACCTGGAGGAGCTGGTGGCCCTGCCCCACACCCCGGCTGGCAGCAGGCAACAGAGAGGATGGGGGGTGGGCTGCCTCTTCAGGCAGGGCTGCACGGTGGTCCCTGCACAACCCGCACACTCACAGCTGCCTCTCCGTCACTGAGGTCGGCACAATCGCCATTTGCCCAGCTGCTTTACTGACCATTAGTTTGGAATTAAATGAAACATTTCTTATACTCACATGTCTTCTAACATTGGAAGCAAAGCAGTCCCAGGAAGCTATTATTGGAACAAAACACAGTGCCCTGACAGTTAAGGCTTGTCTGTTCAGCCCACCTGCTCCGCTGGCTTACTCAGGTTCCGTGACACCTGCAGGCCCTGGGCTGGCCGCTCCTGGCTCTGAGATGTGATTGTTTCATCACATCTAACAGCTATGGAGCGAGTTTAATAAAGTCCAGTATGTGACACAAAAAAATTCGTGTTACAGCTCATTAACTGCAGCCAGATTCTTTCATCTGAGTGTGAATTCTCCACTTGGATGTCGGGCCCGACCAACGGTTAGTCCCAGGGGCTCTGCCTGCCGGTGCCCAGCCCACAGCACAGTCCACAGGGCTCAGCCCCACTTCTTCACTCTCCGTGTATTAACGAGGCCGGTCTAAGAGCGTGCCTCAGCCAAAGGCAATTTAAAATCATACAGCAACTCCAACGGTTTTGTTTTTAATAGTCCGTGCCTTACTTTCCAGCCACAGTACTCATTTCCACGGACAAAAGTGAATTCCAACCTTGGTGCGTAAACCAAGACACCGAGAGCAGGTGCAGGGTCTGCTCCACAGCAGACCCCGGCCTGATTTTTCCATGGAAGGGCTCAGTTTTGAAACAACTCCTGCAAAGGCCGGTACGTGACAGAACTGTTCCCAACAGGCCTTGGAGTTGACCTCCAACAATCCACTCATTATTGGTGAGAAAAATCAATTTCCCTCTCACTGAAAAAGCTCATTTTGTCATGAATGAACAAAGGCAAGAAAATGGGATCAACTTAGGATGTGTTTCATTTGCTCAAACTAAGAATATTCATCAGTGGAGGTCGGGAGGTGGCAAGACTTTAAGTACATGGTGATGATGCCGCCCCACAGCTTCTGAACACCTCCTCCCAATGAACCTTCCAGAAGGATAACAGTCACCAGGTATCGAACCATACCCACCTTTTTGAGTGTTTAAGGCCACAGAAACTGCTGTTCGACAGCCCTAGCAGGTGAGCACTTCTTACTTTTCCCCAGGACAGGCAAATGGGCCCACGACCAGAGAGTGGCTGGTCTGGAAACCCAGCCGGTCTTCGAAGTGAACTGCATGGTCAACAAGTACAATCCCCACAGGTCGCGCCGAGGCCCCAAAGCATCGCACTTCCGAGGATGAGGCTGCACACTGGGAGCGCACCACGCCCTGCCCCGGGGCGCCCTCCTGCACGGTCCCGCCGCAGCACCCCGGAATGTCAACCCGAATGCTAGGACCTGAGGCACCAGCTGATCCAATATTCCTCCTACATATGGGGAGACTGAGGCCCAGAGGAAAAAACTAAGAAAAGCTACACGCTACGTCATCCACGTTAAAACGATCAGATGAACCACGGGGCTTCAGTGCACCAGCATGAGACAGACGACACAGGACTTGTCACTGCAACTGGCCACGGACTATGAAACTCGACTCAGTTTCAGAGGCTGTATGATGGGAGGGGGAAAATGTGTCTTAGAATCTACGAAATCTGGTCATTTAAATGATCTCAACCTTATTCATAGACGGAACAGGCATAGCACATGAAACGCATTGTTTAAATTCGCAAAACCTAGCGCCTCGCTGTTCAGATGAACATACATCCTAACCAGAATTTCCAGCTCGCCAATGCCCATCCTCCCACCCCAGCTTCTCCCTCAGTGGAGACAACTGAACATGAACCCCCAGAATGGTCTCTGGTGCAGTACCCAGCTGGTCACCTGACCTGCCAATGAGCCTTTGTAGAAACACCTGTGTGTGCTCTTCCCTCCCCAAGCCCGCACCTCCACCCGGCCCTTCTAGAGACGCCCCCGATTCCCACGTACAATCCCACAGACACTCAACCTCTAAGGAAAACCGTCACTCACAAGACCTGCGGCACTCACGTCTTCACAGGCCGGGCTCCATCTGAGCGGCCCAGGCCGGTGCCAGCAGCCAGGGAGACCGTCCCCGGGACCAGCCAAGGAAGTTGTGCGTTCAGGCCGGAATCCGCAGGAGACTCTCCCGGGGGGAGAGGACGTCTGCCCGGCTGGTGCTACCTCTGCTGCGAGGCTGCCCAAAATACCCTGCTCACGACTCTGCTTCCCATCTGACTGCCGAGGCAGAGAGCTCGGGCGGGCGGCAAGTGGGAGTGCGTGCAGCATGAGTCACGGCGCTTCAAATACAGCAGCTGTGGCTGCACTCAGATGTCCGCAGTGGGCACCGGCCTCCCGGCTCCAGAGAGGAGCCTGTCGGCAGGCCGCCCTCGGGCCAGAGCCTCGGCGCTGCCCCCGGTCTCCTCGGCCCCGAGACAAGCTCAGGGTTTACCCGTGAAGCTCCGCCGTGGTTTAGATTAGACACAGCTCCCCTACGAAGCAGCCTGTCGGTCTCGAAGGCGTCTCTGCTGTGGTCTGTGGAAGACCCCCGTGCCCTGCTCACTGGTCTCCCTCCTTCCGTCCTCGTCCTCCTCCAGACGTCTCAACACGGGAGGCCCAGCGACGCCACTGAGACACGAAGGTCAGGTCAGTTATCTGTGCCTGCGCTCCAGGGGCTCCCACTGTTGTCCGTGTGACAGTCCCAGTCCTTACGACAGCCCACCACACACACACACACACACACTCACACACACGTGCGCGCGCACATGCGCACATGCGCACACACTCTGAGCCCCGGATCTCACCCCCCCCCCCCCGGCCACTTCCCGCCAGCTTCCAGCAGACCCCAGGACCTTGGCACGGGCTGCGTCCTCCGCCGAGAAACGCTTCCCCCGGAAATCCAAGTGGATCGCACTCTCACCTGCTTCGTGTCGCCGCTCAGATGTCACCTTCCGGTCTGGCCGTCCCTGACCGCCCTGCGTACGGAAGCACAAGAACTCCGAGTCCCAGAACTCTTCATCCTCCGGAGACTCATCTTCCTCCAAACCTTTACCACACCCGGCACGCTCCGCATCCCAGTCAGTCACCGTGTGTGCTGCCCATGCCGCTCTCCCGGATGATAGCCCTGCGGGTGCAGGGACTGCACGGGGCCCTCGCCGCCGTCTCCCCAGCCCCGGGAATGTGGCCCGGCGTACAGGCAGCACTCTGTATTAAGTGACAGAGCCGCTCGCTCCATGGAATAAAAGGGGGGACCCGCGCACGCCCTCGCTGCAGGGCAGAACAGGGCTCCAGGTCTCCCACGTCAAAGGGACACAACCCGAGGCGCGCGCGAAGGAGCAACCGGCGCCCAGCGGCAGAGAACGCGAACTGGCGGCCCCTGGGTCAGCGCCGCAGACCATCCCCGGGCCGCGCAGGTGGGCGGCGGCCCCGCCCCATTCCGAGCAGGCCCCGCCCACCTCCCCCCTTCCGGAGAGCTGCCCCGCCCCCCGCGGCGGCACCGCCGTCCTCTCCCGGGCGAAGGGGCCCCGACGCCGCCGCGCGGGCGCTGGGCGGGGGAGGAGCGCCCAGATCTGCGCTCCCGGCAGCTCCCGGCCTCGGGCTCCACGCCCCGCCCCCCCGGACGGCTCGGCCGCCGGCCGCCCGCGCCGACGCACCCCGCGCGCCCGTCCGCAGTCCCGACGCCGCCTCTCGGCGGAGGCGCAGACGGATCTGCCGCGGCCGCCCCCCCGCGAACGGCGGGGCCGCCACGGCGAAGCCTTCCGCTCACCCGCGAGTGCAAGCAGACCGCACCCAGCGCCACCGGCACGGAGGGCGGCAGAGCCTCCGCACCGCCACGCGGGAGCAGCCGCGGTGTCCGCGGGGCCGCCGGGACGCGCAGGGGCCCGGGGAGGTGCGGCCAGGGCCGCTGCGCCACAGCAGCGGCGCCGCCCCGGCGTCCCGTCGGGGCTCGGGTGCGGGCTCGCCGCCCTGCCGTCGGGACTCCTTCCCCGGGTCCTGCAGGCGCCTCAGGGGCAGCGGACGGGCGCCCCCGCGGGGACTCGGAGGGACCCGGGGGCCCGCTCAGGGACCCAGGGGAGTGACCCCGAGGGACCCGGAGGCGCGACCCTGAGGAAACCTGAGGCGCGACCCCAAGGGACCCGGAGGCGCGACCCTGAGGAAACCTGAGGCGCGACCCCGAGGGACCCGGAGGCGCGACCCCGAGGGACCCGGAGGCGCGACCCTGAGGAAACCTGAGGCGCGACCCCGAGGGACCCGGAGGCGCGACCCCCAGGAACCCGGAGGCCCGACCCCGAGGGACCGGGAGGAGCCGAGAAACTCACTCGGAGGAACCCGGAGGCCCGAACCTTGAGAACCGGACGTGGCGACGTGGCCGCGGGCGCTCCCGGCACTTCGGCTCCGGACTGAGCGCCGCGAGGGCCCGCCGCGTCCGTGTCCAGTGTCGGCTCCGCCCGCGAGGCCCCCGCGCTGGACGGCCGAACCGCGTCGGGGGCGGCACCCCTGACCCCTGACCCCTGACCCGCCGCGTCCCCGCGCCGTCCGGCCCGGACGCGGCGCCATTTCCTGCCCCGCAAACCCTGGCGAGGCCGTGAGTCCCCACGTGGTGACGCAGGTCCTAGACACGCGCGGGAGGAGGCCCCGGAGAGGACGTGACCAGGGACCCTCGGAGCTGGCCGGGTCCTGGAGTGTCGCGTGGGCGCCGGCGTCAAGGACGCGGCGACAGAGCAACGCGTGGGGACCGAGGGGACGGCGAGCCGAGCCCGCGGAGGCCTCCGGACCCGGTAAGATCCCGCGGCGCGTGGGGCGGGGGCGGGGACCCCCACCGGTCCCGCCGGAGGGTGAGGAGGGACGACGGTCACTGGGTCGCCGCGCCCCGGGGGCGGCTCCGCTGGCCTCCCGGCCGGGGCTGCGGTTACCGTGCGGGGCCAGCGCCGCCGGGGCGCTCTTCTCTCCCCGGCGGAGGTCGCGGAGCGTGTTCCCCACGCGGTCCGAGCGCAGCCGGCCCGGGGGACGGAGAGCGACGGGCCGACCGACGGCGGACCGTGTGCCGCAGCGGCCCCGCCGTCCGAGACTCGGGCCGGGAAGCTCGAGGCCTCGGAGAAGCCGGCGCGGAGCTGACGCGCGAAGCGGTGATGACCGCGGGCGAGAGTGGAATCTTGGGGCAGCGACTCAGGGGTCGACACGCAGTGAAATGCCTCCCCGAATGTCTCCCCAGAAATGACGAGGCAGAAAGAAAGGGGTTTGTTTTCCCTTTTTCTTTTAATGTAAACATGGGGTATCTGAGTAATAAAAAGGTAACAAATGAATCTGTAAATATAGTTTTAAAAGTCCGGTTTCAACTAGGTACATGAGGCTTACACGTACAAACGTATTATCTGATAAAAGAAATAAATAGAAATCAAAAAGCAGTTCCATAACTTCAACTACAAAAACGCAAATTCCGTGAGTACTTCGAACCTAGGACGAGTGCCTGGAAAACGCAGCGAGAATCCTGTGAGAGGCGCGGGCGAACAGCCTGAACGTGAAGAGGAAGGGGGGCCGCAGAGGCAGGTCCTCAGCACAGAGCTGCACCTGTGGGCACAATCTCAGACAACAGGTGTGCAGAGGGTGCACAAGCACGATCCGTAGTCAGACATCCTTCGGGACAGTCGCATCTTCGTGTCGCACGGACCAGTGAGGGCACCCCACTGACAGTCTACTTAAGGACTCGACAACGTGCTGGAGCGAGCGAGAAGGCTCCGAGGGTAATTCTGAGTGGACAGCGGTGATCGGCAAGTACGTGAAATGCATAAATACAGATCTGAGTCTCATCCAAGCAGTTAGATGTAGAAATTATAACTGAGTTCCCTACTGACTCAATAAGGAACACAGCTTCTCAACTGTTCAGTTCACACTTATTGTTTGGAATCAAGGGTATCTACATAAGTTTTCACATCAAGCAATGATAAAATACAGTCACATGCTCATACAGTCAGATACAGAAGTAACAAAAGGTAACTATATTTTGGGTATCCTTCATTTAAAAATTTGACTAGTTGCTACCTTATTTGATTCACTAATAAGATTTCATACATTTTACAAGTCTAAAGCATATTATTATAATAACATTCATGAACAATAAAAATGTTTAATTACTGTAGAGTCCTATAAACTTGGGGAATGAACTTTAAAGTTCAGCAGAATAGTAGGTACTTAACAAGAACATTGAAGTGATCTATACAGCAGTTTAAATTTAAGAGAATTACTTAATGTCTAGGAATAATTTCCTTGAGTTAGAAAGTACTAAATCTTGGTTTTTATCACCATCTTAAATTCAGACTTTATTAATGTAAACAGGGAAAACCTTATTTTTAATGAACAGAGAAGAGACCATTGTCTTTATAGTGCAGTAACTAATTTATTATCTGGGTAATGGAACAAGAGGAAATGGAGTATAATAACTGAGACTTTTCTGGAGGGCCTCAGGCACATTCAAACCAATATTAACAGAAGGCACTTGAAAGGCTTTTTACGGTGCTTTGCAACCAATGTTTTCTATGCCAATGGCAAACTCTGTAAACAACTGTGCAAAGATGGCTCTAACATCACAAAGTTACCTATGTCTTTAAAAGGCAATATTTAATATATAAAAATGGAGTAAAGATGTTAATATATTAAACAATTTATAAACATTGAAAATTACAGATATCTTACAAAACAGCTGAGATAAAAATTATTTTTGCTAACAGTAAACAAACACAAATTAAACATAATACATAAAAGTCTCAATTAGCTTGTTAGCTGGGAGAAGGAAAGGGAAGAAAGTCTTAGACCTCAATTCCAATGGCTTCAGAATGTAAAATATTCCAAGTTATTAAACTTGACATAACATGTATTTTAACACTGAAATATTTTTAAAAATGAAAATTTCAATAATTCCTTATTTTAAGGCCATTGAAACAAGTTTCACATTGTTAGTTTTGTGATGTGTTATTTAGAGTCCAAGAATGTTTGGGCTGACTCATCATATCCATTCTGCTCATGGCTTTTTCACTGAACAATACACTCTATTGTGGGTTCTTTTTCAATCCACTAATAAAGTCAGCACTCAGTGCCACATGTCACAATGTCTAGGATTCATTCATGAAATGGGAGGGTGCTGATTTGCTGCAGATGTGGTCTGACT